CCCTTCCCTATTTACAAAGACTTTGTTTCCATTTACGAAAAATATGTCTTATTTGGTGGTGTGCTATAGCTGGCTGACATCAGCTGTTGAGAGTCTATTACACATATCTCATCCCAGCTCTACCTTTAATGATTTCATTTGCTGCTGGGGAAGTATTTATGCCATAAATCAGCAAATGTTACATATTGGAGCTTCTCCTCCCACTTCAAAAGAACTCATTGTTAAACACTAGCATACCGTGAGTTTTACAATAGAAGAATTATAAGAAATGGCTCCTGTAGAAATAACTAATTGAAGTAATTTTAGTACTTGAACTAAGAGAGTTCAAGAAGAAAGGAATTATTTTTCCATCTTTGAAGACAATGTCTATGCAGTAGAATTACCACTATAGAATGAGATCAGCCAACTTAGCTAAAGATACAAGATTCTGATGTTCACTCAGCCACTTAAAGGACACAGAAATCTATACAAGGCTCATTATTTTTAAGACTCAAATTGCACTGGAAGTATGCTCATGGTCTGATTCAAGTGGGATTATCACATTCTTTAGGTATGCCTCAGAGGTGAAAGGAGAAATGCAAAATGACTTTTCTCATCTCATTTTTCAATCACAAATTTTTTCTCAATCATTATTCTATTTTAAAAGATGAATAGACCTGGGCCAGTGATTTAGCTCAGTCGTTCCAGTGCCTGTCTCGCAAGCACAAGGTCCTGAGTTCGATCCCCAGTACAAACAAACAAACAAACAAAAAGATGAATAGACCTCATTCCAGAAGCAAATAGACTATAGTCATAAACTTTTTATCCAGTTTTCAGTGGGAGAATCAGACAAAATGTTTTCTCCTGCCAGTGCCAGAGAATTGCAGTTGCCATCCTACATATGAACTGAAATGAAAAACAATATTTTTATATCAGTGCATCATATTTGAACCCTTTGTTACATTCAAGTGAAACTAACTAAATTCTCTGTTTAGGAGTATGAAAGTCATGTAGAGATGGATATGTCTGCTTCAGATGTAAATTCTATTACTGCACAAAGGATTAATACCATCAATTTTCTGGAAAAGGTAATAAAAACAACAACACAGTATTACAAAGCTGTTTGCCATTACTTTTGTGAAAACGGATCTGCTAGACACATAGCAATATTTCTTTCCCAGACAGTCAGATGAACAAATCGTCTCCTCTGAGTTTTCTGTTCCCTTAAGACTTCCTTTTCAGATTTAGGTTACATCATTGTCAGTGAACTTATTATTAAAATACATTCCAACTTCTGGTTAAACACAAATGTTACATACTTCCCAAGGTTCACTTTAAGCCCTCCTTTTTTAAACTGGCCAGTGCTTTTCTCTATCCTGGCTCCTTTTAGCTCTTTACTAGCTACAGACGTAAAAGAAAAATTGGGATGTACTTTAATAATGAGTTTGCTATCTTGGAAAATAAAGACATGTCCTTGCTCAGAAGAAAAGAGGACTCACTTCCCTCTATCCTTTCTTTTTTTTTTTTATGTATGGGGAAGCCCAGGAAGGAGGAGAGCAGAGAATCTGTAAGAGGGTAAGAGAAGTGATGCTGAAGATGTTTAAAATTTATTTAGAAATCCTGGGAAGGAACCTTAAGAAAATTGTGTAGTTAGATTTCAACTCCTATGAAGACTTATTTGCTACTGAGAATAGTTTTAATACTATGACCTCCTGAGTTTATGTTCTAGTGAGAGAAGTCAGATAATGAGCAACCATTATTAGTGTGTCAGAGGTTGAAATTTGCTATAAAAATAAAATAGGAAGTAAAGACTGGTGGGGTGTGGTGAAATGTAATATAAGGTGGTCAAGGAATTTTATGAGGTTACACTTCAAAAATGAACTGCTACTTATTTAGACTGGTAGGAGGTGAGGGAACTAATCATGGAGTTTTGAGGGGAAAAACACTCTAGGATAATGAAACCACATGCAAAAACTCTGACGGAAGCACCCCTGGTCTGTGGAGGAAACAGCAAGGATCCCAGTCTGAAAGATGACAAGGGAGAGAGAAAAAGAAAGTGAACTGTCTTGGGGCCAGAGGAACCTGGTTCACCTTCCAGGGGAACAATTTGTTCCTCATGTGACAAGGATAATTTTCAGAAGTTAATTATGTTTTTTCCATTCTTTTCACAACTTCATTTTCTTGTCCTATTCAAGCAGATTATTAGGCTCTAGGTATGTTCTTTCCAGAATGATTTGCAGCATGTCAGAAAGCAAGGAATGGCTACTTGACACTCTATTTTCTGGTTTTCAATCAGAAAGACTAAACCCATCATAAAGAATAGAGTTAAAGGGGAAAAGGAGGCATTTCCTCAGACTAAAAATGATATTTTCATAGGCTTTAGAAGAATCAAGATCTGTTGCAAGGGCTTAGAAAAATGGCTTTGTTCCAGCACTAACTTTCTGGCCAAACTGATAGAATGAGGTATCAAGTCAGCACGGGACTGACTCAAAGGAAATATAGAAATATGGTCAGATTTCTTTGAGTTTATAAGTCAAGATTTATATCTAGGGGCTTATACAGAAATTAGTTCATGAGGCAATCTCCTTTGACAAAGAGTATATTTGGCCATGTATACTGTAAGTTAGAAAACATGTAAGCAAAGAAATTATGAGACAAAATGGACATAGAAGGAAGAAAATGAGAAGTGAACTTGCTTTGGTGTGACAGTGTGAGTTGTGAATGATTTTATGGTAGCAAACAGAATCATATTTCACTCATCTAAGCCTCTTTTCCATTCATTGCTTGCAAAAACTAGGAGTAAAATATGATGATGCCAGAAGCACTCTAAGTACTTAATCTTAAAATATAAACAATGCATTTTTTTAAATTCTGGGTTTTTTTTTAGGAGAGAAGATCGATAATGAAAAGAATCATTAAAGTTAGCAAATTTAACTTGCCAGATATTGTGGCTGATTATGAAGAAATTGTATCTTCAAGGTAGTACTAAAAATTAAGTGAGAAATATAAAGTTTTAAACTACCTTTGAAATCCTCTTATTTATTTTTATATTAAGTTACTTGCTAAAAGATGCAGTTTCAGAGCATAAAATAAAATATAGTTACTTAAAATGTATTTGGTCATTTTAGAATATATACATGATATGTTTTTAATATAGTATTTTAGGAAAGTTTTTCACTTTCTCCTTATTGATAGTTTTTAGAACAAGAAAACAAAATACCTTTGTTCCAAATTACTTTACCCTAAGATTTTCTAACTGTGAGACCGCTACCAGACAAACTATTGCTGGTAGCCTTAAGCCTATAATCTCCCCCATACAAATCTGAGAGTCCTGAGTTGTACAAGGGCATTGAGGTCCACAATGAGCAACTTGGGAGCCTTTGCTGAAGTAACTCAATTTGTATACTGTCCATTTGTGAAACTTACGACTAAGAACAAGAGTAGGTCTGCCATGTCTCTGGGAAACCTCCCGGGAGCCCACATGTAAATGCTTGATATTGCCAATGAGGTTTTAACTGATTTAGGATGTTGAAATCTGTTGGGTTTATTTTTAGTCCTTGGGAGAAAATAATTGTGACTACATAATTCTATGGATTTTTGTTACCAGGGTTGACAGTATGTGTAAACTAACTCTTGTTTCAGAGCCAGGGAGACAGTATATTCAGTCACATACAAGAGAATGATTCCTAAAAAATGAATAATTTTCTGAAAGATTTTCATGTTTCATGGCCTTACCTTTCTGTCCTTGTCTCATTTTGGAGCACGTACCCAAAGAGTGCAGAGTAATACATTGTCTCTCGAGATGAGGAAATACAGCATTTCTTCCTTTCTGTGTTCAGAAATAAAAATTCCTTCCTTGGGTTTAAAACAACTCTGTCCCTGGAATGATTGAAATAATATGGTTCAGCATAATGGCTTTATTTATAATTGCTCAAACTTCACTATTCTATATATATATGGGGCTAATCATTTTTCTTCCATAGCCAGTTGATGCATGCAATTTGTAAGTTTGTGGAACCACGAAAGAAGTTAAAGCCTCAGAGGAAGGAAAGGAAAAGAGTTACAGAACAGGCTATCTCTGATGGGGATATTAAAATTCTCATAAGAATATTGAGGGCCTATAATATTCCTACCAGGAAAACAACAGTTAATAGGTAGGGAAATATACTCCAATTTTTAGAATTGCAAAAGATTTATCTTTAATGTGATAAATTTCCTTGCTCTTATTTGTAAAACTTTCCACTTTATAGTGCTTTACATACTTAAAATTAATAAAAGTTAAAAATCTTCATTTGAATAATCATAGCTGCTGTCAATGCCATATATTGAGTTCTCAGAAGTTTGAGATTCCAAAATAATTTTAAGGTGTAGTGTTTGCTATATGCTCACCTTCCCATACTATATCAAATAAATTCCTTTTGTCACTATTTCCTACCATGAAAATTCTGAAGTGTCTGCTTCAGCCACACTATTGCATGCCACTGTCCCTTATTCATATTGGAAGTAGGAAGCTAGAGAAAGTAGGTAGGATACCAATTTTGTTTTAGAAAATGTCCTGTGAGGCAAATGTGCAATGGTTCATGAAATCAGAATTACAACAGCTGCACCCTGTTATATTATGGACTTGTAGATGACTTCTACAAAAGTATGATTTTACCTATCAGTTTGGTATGCACACACTGTGGCTTATTTATTTTTTGAGTTGAGGGCATATGGGACCAGAATGGACATCATCAATGAATGGCCAAATTAAACCATTATGAATATTAAGTTTTTGTGTATATTTAGTGTGTCCTGCATATGTATTTTTTCATTTATTTATGCCATATATGAATGATATATTATGAATATTTTGTGCCCAAGTGCCTCATGAATATTAGGTAACCTCTATCCATGTTTCAACACACATGTACTCCTCTTGCTTATTTTATGCTCACTTCAACTCAAAAAAATGATGGGGCTGGGGATTTAGCTCAGTGGGCCACCGCCTGCCTCTCAAGCGCAAGGTCCTGAGTTTGATCCCTGGTACCAAAAAAAAAAACAAAAACAAAAAACACAACTCAAAAAAAAATTGTACCTATAAAAAAACAAACATGTTGGCTACAGGCTATTAGTGTATATTTAAAATATATGCTTTGCCTATGTTTTACAAACCACAACTTTATTCATCAATAGAATTGAATATTCTCATAACACATGAATATTTCAAAGGCTGCTTTGTGATATAAGGACATATAAATTTTTCTGTAATCATTTGTAAAAAAATATTGTAAAAAAGTAAGAAAGATGTAGTCATAAAGTATCACTTGCTTTCTTTATTTCCTTTTGCTAAATAGCAGTGAAAATTTTATCATAGACTGGATCCAATTCATAGTTCCACATTTAGGAGTCACTCTTCCATAGTACTAATTATCAAATATTTAGTTCTAACTACTGATAAAAGATATGACAAAAACTCAAAGGTCCAGGGTAACTGAATTATATATTTCTATAAGCACGGGGGGAAAAGCCACACATTCTTAACTAATACTAAAATTAATTAAAGTGTAGGTCTCTATTTTGTTTTCCTGAAGAGTCTTGGATATGCCTGCTTATTTGAAATCATCTATACCTTGCTTCAGACATAAAGAAACAAGCAGATCAATAGCCTCAGATAATATTTTAAATGAGGTAAGTATTTAACACTTCTATAAAGTACAATATTGATTATGTTGCTCTGAATTGCGATGTCAGACAATTGGTCTCTCCATATCTATTTTCTTCATCTTCCAGTTTACTTTCTACAACTTAGTGAAGATCTTCTTCATAAAATATAACTCTAACCATTTCATTCTATGATGTCAGTGTCTGTAGAAGAAAGTACAAGCTCCTAAAAAAAAAAGAAAAAAAAAAAAAAAAAAGAAAGTACAAGCTCCTTACAATGAATTCAAAACCTTTGATGCTCTGGCTCTTGACTGACAATCAGCCTTATTTCTCTCTATTCCATAGCCATGTCATACTATTATTTGTTCTACATTTCCTACACTAGTCATTTTCTTGTGATGAAAGGCCTCCATACAGTTCTATGTTATTGGCCAAACCAATTTCTACTCAATATTTCAAGCCCAAGCTCAAGCAATATTTTCTCTGTGATGTCCTCTTTGTCCACACCCCCCAAAATTCACTCATTCTCTCTCCTGTGTAACACTTTAACTAGAATATATTTCTCTTGTTTTTTTCTTGTATTTCATTATACTAAATAAAATATTGCAGAAGTCTGGTCAATGCTTATGTTTTTCAGGATACTGTACACCCTTTCATAGAAGTTTCTTTTCAGCACACTGTATATCATACCAATACAGAAAGGGGATCTCATCCATGCTGGAATGAAGAAATTAAGGTAGATTTTATGTAAGTTGGAGTACATATTTCAATATTTCTTTAAAATTTTTATTTTCCTGAACCATTTTTTGAAAATAATGCCTGAAATAGGCTTTATTTTTTAAGTTTTTAAATCAAAATATTTAATTCATAAAAGCAATATATATGTACATGTGAATTCTGAAGGCAAATAATGAAATAAAAACCTGTGTAGCTAATATCCAGCTTTAAAAAGAGTATTACCAATACCTCTGACGGCCCTCTGTGGCATTACCTAATTGCACTGCTTTTCTTTCCTCCCAGAAAATGAATTTGTATTTATTATTCTCTCTTCATTTATGACTTTACTTCATAGTTACTCGTCCCCATTATTATGCATGTTTTCAACTTTATACAAATTGAGTCATATTTATATATTTTTCTGCAATCTTGTTACTTATTCTTATTTCGAGAGATTCATCCATGTTTATAATATATTTAGCTGTTTCTTCTTGTCTGAATATATCTCCTAAAGTCCAGGTGTTAGAAGCTTATGCACAGTGCAGTTGTGTTGGAAAGTGGGGATTTTAGATCACAAGGGATCCATCTTCAAGGATAGATTTGTGCTGTTATAAAAATGGTTTGAGGGCGGGCTGGGGATTTAGCTCAGTGGTGCCGCCTCCTACCTCGAAAACACAAGGTTCTGACTTCAACCCCCAGTACCAAAAAAAAAAAAACCTTTGAGGGCAAGGCTCACAGAACACCAAGTAATGACTATGAAAAAAGCTCTCCACAACACAGCATAGTCAAGATCACAGATGTTCAACAAAGTGGCGGAATCTTAAAAGCTTCCAGTGAAAAGCACCCCAAAAAATCACTTATAAATGTAAACGCATTAGGATTATGCCAGACTTCTCAACACAAACTTTCAAGTCCAGGAGAACTTGAAGTGTTTTAAGCCCTAAAAGAAAACAGCTTCCAACATAGACTAATATATTTTACAAAATTATCTTTCAAAATGGATGGAGAAATAAGGACATCATTCTATCACAAAGAGCATCTTAAATGATACATGAACGCCAATCCAGCATTCCAAAAAATATTCAAGAATATCCTAGACAGAGACAACAATGCCAGAAAGTCAGATGGAATGAATACATCAAGCAAGGTAAGCAATTAAACAAAAAGGAAAAAATAAAGGCGTCGACAACAGAAAAAGAACATAATGACAGGAATAAGTAAATACCTTTCAGTAATAACTGTCAGTGTGAATCACCTCACCTTCCCAATTAAAAGACGCAGATTTGCAGACTGGATCAAATAACAGAATCCAACAGCATGTTGTAACAAATGAACTCACTAATCCAAAAAAAAATTTATACAGTTAAAATCAAAACATGAAAAACAATATTCCATGCACAGAACCCCCAAAACAAGAAGAAGCAGCAATTTTATTCTCAGACAAAGTAAACTTCAAACTAAAACTGATCAAAAGAGGCAAAGAAAGTCACTACATATTAGTGAAGGAAACAATTCAACGTGAAGAGATTATAAAATGCATATGCACAGGATCTAGGAGCGCCTAACTTCATAAAACACTACTGGACATAAAAGATCAAACAGACACCAACACAATCATAGTGGATGACTGTGGAGAGCCAACAGCTCTATAAGTATTAAGATGGACAACTTGGATTTCCTATGAAAGGGTTAAGTGAAATATTGTAGAGCTTGCTGCCCAGCTCTGAAGAAGCTGGGCATAGGAGAAAGTGATAAGAACAGCACAAGGACACGGAGCTAGGGAAAAGAAAACATGGGACTGTCTCAAGGCCTGGGGAATTTCCAGATGTGCCTTATGTAAGATGTTTTCTATTCTTGAGTACTATAAAAGAGAATAGTAAAGTCAATAAAGTTGCTCGGTAACTGGGAGCCCTCCCGTCTTCTTTCTTTCAATCCTCACGCCCCGTTTCAGGTTCCTTTCAGTTTGCCTCGGCAGGTCCGCAGCAGAGTGGCGCCCGAACAGGGACCTGAATATCGGGGATTTGCCGTGAAGGATGCCGCGTGAAGAGCTCGGGACAAAGTGAAAGTAAGGTTAGTGCGGCGCAAAGCGGGAGAGTGATAGAAGTGGGACAAGTTAGTAGTAAGAATTTTTTAGAATTTGTAAAAAAGTTTGTCCTTGGTTCCCTGAAGAAGGAACAGTAGATTTAGAAATATGGAATAAGGTGGGAAAGAAACTTCAGGACTGTTATGACGGTCATGGACCCAGTAAAGTCCCTATCGATACTTTTAGTTTATGGGCTTTAATTAGAGATAGTTTGGACCCTCAGCATGAGAGGGAGAGGGTTAAAGGGCCCTCCTCAAGTCCTTCCCTGGAGGAGTCTAACAAGGCTGATGCTCCTGAGGCTGTCCCTTCACCTCCCACAGAAAGTAAAACTAAGCCATCTGCCCTGTCGGCTTGTGCTGATACAGAGCCTGCACTAAATAAAGGCCTTTTTCCGGATGAGGGTCCCTTAGACCCGGGAGATGCTGATAATTTGGAAGAGGAGGCTGCTAGGTATAATAATGAGGACATGACCGAAAAGATTACTAGGTTGGAAAAGACATTGAAGTCTCTTTGTCAGCGGTGGCAGACAGGCTTAAAGGTGGAAGAGGAAGACCAAAAGACTCAGGGCGAGGGAGGCATAGTTCCTAACATAATTGCTGGTCTTGATCCCCCGCCGGTTACAGGTCCAAGATTAATAATAAAAAAACTGACCCTCTTATAGCCATGATCAAACATCCCCCAGGTCCCAGACCTTTGTCTATCAATTCTCAGTCTCTGTCGCCATTACAAGCTACCCTACAACATGTGGTTGACAGAGGGGAAGATACCCAGGGCTAATAATAATTATAAATTTAAAATTTTAGAAAAGGGGGAACAACTTCAAAATGCTCTTTTTGTATTTACAGGTGTAAAAGCGCTTTTATTCCTTCTGATTCTAATCTCAAGAGATCTCTGTTAATTGACTATTCCAAAGTTTTTGACCAGTCATACAATTATAAATCTGATAATCATAAAAAAGATATTGTAATTCAATTTGGCCAAATATGTTTGAGTGCACTCTAATTTTATAAATTGTCTTTTATGTTTGTCTGTTGTCTGTTTGTACAGTTGAGCTCAATTTTTTTTTTTTACAATAAACAGTTTTAGAGTAAAAAGATATATATATTCATATTATTTGTTTGTCAAA